TGACTAAACCGTTACGACCACCTACGCTCCAAGTATTCATTTCTTAAACCTGATATACGGCCATAAACTAGTGGACAACGTGCACAATAAACCGCAGGAATAATTGGGATAGAAAGTACAAGTGCTTTTGGGAAATTGCGATACTGGCCAGACCAAACCAATATCGAAAAACCTCAGTCCTTGGACACTAGTTATAAGTCGGAAAGAAAAGCCAAAAACGATTTTAGGAAGCTTCAGCATTGAAAAGATGAAATATCGAATAAAAAGCTGATATAATCATAATGCAGGGTAAAGATTATCTGAAGAACCTAAAAATTCATGTAAGTGTTATCCGCTTAACTCTACCTAACCTAACGTAACCAGACCGAACTGTACATGATACTAACCCTAACATGTGCGTCCTTCCCACTAACTCGAAATGTAGTCACACAAAACAAATTTGGGTACGCATCACAAAAAATATTCATTTCCAAAACTTGATACATGGCCATAAACTAGTGGAAAATATGCATAAAAACTACAGGAATGTTTGGGGGACAAAGCAGAAAGGCGTTTGGGAAATCTGTTTAACAAAAGCCTGCAAAATTGGCGGAAAATATATCAATATAAATTAACAATAAACCTTGTATTACTTACTGTTTAGATCAAACCATTTTCCAAAAAACGTAACTCTTAACAATAGTTGTATTTTTGAAAGGAAAGCAAAAAACGATTTTAGGAAGCTTCAGCTTTGAAAACATCATAATGCAAGATTATCTGAAGAACCCAACACTCTTGCATGTTCCGCTTCACGGAAACCGTCCCTAACCCTAAACCTAACCTAACCTATGCGTACTTCAAGTTAACGAGAAATCGATGATGTGTAATGGTCACGCAAAACAAATTTATCCATCTCAAAATAGTAATCATTTCAAAAACTGCGATACAGATTATGAGATTAATTTTTCTGAAAAAAATCTCACCAAGCAGTTTCGAATCGTTTCTACGTTATGTCACAAGCCGGTTGGCCGCAGTCACGCTCGATTCCGTCTTCAGATCTTTAAGCTTGCTAATTTTTATGGTATATCTTAACAATTCCTTTTCGATTGTAATTTTTTCATTTCACAGGCAGCAAATGTCGTTATTATATGAGAAAAACGGATCGAGAAACACCGTGTACTCGAGTTTATTACTTTTCTGTTGAAGGTTTCTTCCTTTTATGAACAGAGTGTGACGGTAAACGGAGGAAAAGGTACGGGCAAGTATATGACGAATAAAGTAGCACTTAATAAGCCTTATGCTCTGTTTATGGCCTATGGGAAAGGGTTTTTACTGACTGCGCTGTGCGAATTGTTTGGAAAAACTTTCGATCGTTCATCACCTACCACTTGAAACGGAAGATTTTCGCAATGAAGAAATGAAGATCTTGGGGGGGAGGGGGAGGCTTTTCGAATCGAATTTTCCCACAAGGAAATTATTTCATTTTAGGCATAGAATTAATGAAAATTATCACATAAGAAAATCTCGATTCTTGTCGTATAGGTGAGTGAGATTGGATTGTATGCAAATAATGTTGTCTTTCTCACATACGTGGGGTTAGAGTGTAAAATGAATAGAGGCAATAGAATCTTTCCTTACTACTTTCTAAATTTAAGGTGAACTCGATATTACCGTACAGGTGAGGGTGTTATTTTGAAGGCAGGATGCTTATCGCTTCCTACAGCCTACTATCCTCACTGTTTTGGTCAGAAGCGTCATCTTACTCATCGCCGATGATAGCAAAAGGCCGAAACGCGCTCGACAGGGCAAAACAGCTGTGTTAAGCAGACCAAAATGATCGGAAACTACCAAGTTTATCACTAGTAACTTACAATTGTATGTACTTTACTCCTTAGTCAAAAAATAGCGAGGGTAAAAATCGCTTTTCCGCCGAGAAAAGTCTTCCAGGGATGTAATTTGAAAATGACGTTTTTATTCTGTAACGTCTAGGTTCAATACAAAGTTTCAGCAAGTCGGTTTGCAGTGGGTGGTATGTTCAATCAATTTTTCTCAGGATAAAAAATCTTTTTCATGTTTTTTGGATTTCTCGCTAAATACCTGGAGATTATTATTATTATTATTACTATTATTATTATTGTTTAATCGGCTCGATTTTAATAAGTGATAATAAGAAGCTTTCTCCCCGAGTGAACTTGGAAATCAAACTTTTCAACTAATCCGATTATGATGCTGCGGTTGAATTTCTCCCCAACGCCCTTGGTCAAATTCCACTACGAAGAGTTCAAACCAATCATAAATCAATTTTCAGACATATACAGTTAAAAAGACTATGAAATTATACTAAAATAAACCCAAGCCCAATGGTATAAATAAATAATTAACAATGAATTTAAAAGAAATCGTCGTATTGTTTATTTTTAGGGCCGGCCTAATACACTGATCATAGCGAGCCCAGCCCTATCTTCCTTAGCTTTGCAATTATTTTCTTACCTTTCTCGCGTTTTAAACCTACTAATTTCTTTTACCGATTCTACAGCCAATTTATGATATTTTATACTATTACGGTAGCTAACTCCTTTTTGTTTTCTTTATTGAATTGTTAGCCTCTCTGCACCTCAAGGCCTCATCATTTGTGGATAAAATAACACAAATAACAAACACAATTTCCCAGAAATACAGAAACAAGATAAACATGTTTTTACATGATTGTCTGGTTAACCTTCACACTACCACAGAGTACTCTGGGTAATTGAGGGAGAAGCCTCTCCATTCACGCTAATAAATTTCATTCACGTATTAATTCACACTCGATATTCCTCGGGGTAATGGGCGTTAAATACAGCCAATCACGCTAGTAAATTACATACACACACCACAAATCATTCACACTGCCCTATAACACTCTTTATTCCTCGGGGTAATTTGGGGATAAGCCCCTCCATTCACGCATATGCATACATTATTTCAATAAATAACACATATTTCATACATGAAGGTTCAAATATCTATATACAACTAAAAATATTAATGGTCCTGAAATATTGGATCAGCGATCTGTTCCTGCTGCCAAGCCTAAAGTGCATTGGCTTTCGGGATGTCGTATTTCTTTCTGTGCAGACTTACTTCTTTCCAGACTGTTATTATGTGCTCTACCTTGATAAGTTCTCCACACATCGGACTTGCGTGGTCTCACCCCCAATAGGAGGAGTCCGTGTGTGATCTTGGTATCATGAACACTGGATCAAGAAACGGTCTTGAAGAAAAAACCAAATTTAATTGTTACTGCCAAACTTTCGACCTATTTTAAGGTAATCATCTGGGCAATACAATCTTAAATATGTCTAATGATTGATTATTATGTAAAAGGAAGTTACAGTAGTTGGCAATGAGAGAAGACTGTCGGTCTTCAAGAAAATTTGAGATCGCCTGTAAAAAGCTTAAATAAGTCAATCTGTAAACATATTTAAGATTGTTTTGCCCTGATGATGATCTCAAAATAAGTCGAAAACTTGGCAGTAACAACTGAATTTGCATTTTTCTTCAAGACTGTACTTATCCAGTGTGTTCGTGAGTTAAAAAGTGGTTGATATTTCTAACACAGACTTTGCAAAAGTATTTGATGCTGTCCATCATGACATTTTGATTGCGAAGTTGGAGGCATAGGTTTTTATGGCGGTCTTCTCTGTTGGTTTCACTCTTATCTAGAAAATATATTCCAAATAGTCAAAGTTAATTTATCTGAATCTTTTAAATTTACAGTTATTCAGAAGTTCCTCAGGGTTCTCACTTAGGACCTCTTTTTTTTGTGACATGATAAATGACATTTACTCTGCGTTTAATTAATGATATAAATCGTCTTCTCTTTGCTGATAATCTAAAAATCTCTAACAATATTTTTTCTTTTTCTGATCACTTAATCCTGCAAAACAATTAAAATTCTCGTCACACTTGCTGTTTAAATAATAATCTAAATTTTAATACTTCAAAATGTTTCCATATCCGCTTCTCTACGTGCAATAATTCTAGCAGGGGTCGTCGGTGGCCGCAACGGTTTAGGCATTGACACGGCGCTCATCACTGTAAGGTGAAGGTCCCGGGTTCGAATGCAGGACCGCTGGATTGCATACTTACAAATGTTTTTTTTTTTTTTTCAAAAACACCGGCACCCTGAGAGTTGATATGACCTCTGCTGTTGCGAACCCTCGTAAAAAAAAAATAGTAATAATAATTCTAGCAACTGCACTTACACCATCAATGACCCCCCCCCTCAATTCAGTTAACATTATTAAGAACAGCGGCATCTTGTTTGACTAATAGTTAACGTTAAAAAACTACATTTTAAGTTCAACTCCTAAATCAATAAAACTTCTCGGATTTATGATTTGTTTTTCTAAAGATTTTCAGAATATTCAGGTGTTAAAAGTGTATTTCTTTAGTCAGACCATCATTGAATTTTCGTATGTAGTTTGGTCACCACATTATCCCTATCTAAAACGTTCACGTGAACGTGTCCAGCATAGATTTCTCAGATACGTAAAATTGTTTTTATTCCACAATTATGCCGTACATTAATTAGAAATTCTAAATGCATTGAATATAATCACACTTGAAGCCAGAAGTAATAAAATGGCATATTTCTCCATAAATTATCATTTAATACGATAAACTGTCCAGAACTCTTCAAATTAATTGACTTTAACATTCCATCTCATAACACCAGAAAGCTTCAAACTTTCAACCTAGCCTACAATTGGAACTTTTCATTCTCCAATGAATAAAATTCAGAGACGAGCGCCATTGTCATAGATTTTTTCATTGATAAAAGTACAAAAAAAAAAAATTGTAAAAAAATTGAAATTGTATCTAGTCATAGTTATATCGACTTATATTTGTATGTTCTTATATATTTGCTTATTACTTACATTTTAACAGATCTTGATATGACCTCTCACTCTTAACCTTTTATTATGTGTTCTCTACAAACTTTATCTATAAATCAATACATTTCTGTCTTTTTTCAGATGCTTTCAATTTTATAACGCACGTATTTTCCGCTTAGAAGGTGAGTGATTCATAATAAAATATACGATTTTGCATGCAATGAAATACAAATTCAATAGACAACGATTTTTATAGTTATAATGAGACCGATTTTTCAACAAAAAAAAAAAACACACCTTTTATAGTTTCAACATTCCCGTCTTTGGCTTTGGACCTGATCCTGGTCCACAGAAGTGTGATACTCACAATTTTCACCCTCGAATACCAAGCAATAAGGAATATGTTGCAAACGAAGATGTAGGCAAAATATTCATTATAATAGGCTGTCCTAGTAGTATGCACCAATTGTAAAACTCTACTACCTAATAATTGAGGTTATTAAAAAAATACACAACTTATCAATACAAATAAAAAAGTATCCCCATGCTGGGTGAGGGTCACTCAGGAATACTGTAGAATGCGGCGGTAGATAAGCTGGCAAAGTCCGCAACGACAGTCAGCGCTTTGCTAGATATCCAACCTCTCAAACGAGATATAAAGATAAAAATAGAAGATAAAAATTATGTCAATCATCAGATCATAAGCAAATGGCAATCAGCCTATAAAACGTCACAAAATAAAGACCAACCGCAACTCTTATGACTTGCGATGAAATTGAACAAGCCTCAGAGGGAGAGGTTGTATCAAAGAATCGTAAAGTCTTCAATAGCGCATCCATTAAACTTAGATTGACTTCATTAAAACTTAGAGGAAACGGTGACATTTACGAGAGCCTTTTTAAATTTATAGTGTAATGTAATATAACAGTGCGAATATTTATTTATATTTATTAGTACACATGATGATTCGCTATTGTGTCCGTCAGATGCCTCAAATGCAACAAAAACCAGTAGGAGCCATGGTCTGATTTTCAACCCTTTCGCATAAATTCAATATTTCTTTTAACTATCTACGGTTTTCGGCAAATCAACTCGTAGCTCTTGAACTACTATTTTTTGGCAATCAAAAAAAGCATTATAAAGAGCGTTAAATTTCCTTTAAGAAGGAACCCTTCTGGAACTTTAAATTTAATTTAGTAAGAATACAAAAACCAAATCTTCCAAAAATTACTAAATTTAAAATTTGTAAAAAACTAAATTTGCAACCTCTTTGAAGAAATTCACGGTATAGTTTAGCCAATTTCATAAAAACTTCTTCGTTTAATAAACTTTCTAGCGGTATACCCTTTTTTTAATTACATCGAACCAAAATATAGAAATTTTATGCTAAATGGGAAAAAAATGGCGACGGCGTGGAAAACGGGAGTGGGTTTAATCTAGTAATTCAACTTTTTGTCCTGGGCAAAATTTATTTCTCAGCTTTTACATAATAAAAAAACACAAAAAGAAAAAAAAATAAACGTAAAAATCAAACAAAGCACATAGAAAGGAGGGAATGAACATACCAGAAAAAATGTACATAATATCTACACCAAACACAGACAAAACAAAAAAGAACAACAATACAGAAGTTGTGAAATCCAACTTTAACCTCTTAAAAAGCACACAAAAAATTAACGCAATTTGGTTGTTACTATGTTTATTGTCTTTTTTTATGTGTTTTGTTTGCTTTTTACGCTGAATGTTCTTTCTTTTTTTATTAGGCTCAAGTTGGGTTTTACAGATTCTGTATTGTTGTTCGTTCTTTTTCTGGAAAAAAAAATCGGACGTTGGTTCATACGAACTTTTTTGTTGCATTTTATGTGTAGAAGCGTCTGACGAACATTGTCGTTCGTGTAGTATATGTCAATGTTAATTTATTCTTATTTATATAAATATTTATTATTTTGAGAAAATATTAAAAATTTTATCTAATCACCTATGGCTTATAAAAACATTTTAATGCCAAAAAAAGAGAAAAGGCTGTGAAATTAGTAGAATTAGTAGTTTTACTAATATAAGTTGACTTTCTTCCATATTGATTACATTTTAAATATAAGTTTTTATTAAAAATGTACGAAAATGGGGGCCAAAGAAATTTTAGAATGTGAGTTTACATGTTATTGTTAACACTTTCCTTCTAATGCTAGTTTTCCATTTATTCTCACTTATACCTAAGGGAAAAAATATAAAATTAAGTCCAATATCAATGCTTAATTTAAAAATAAAAAAATAATAAACTTTCGCGGTTCATGGTGAAGAGTTTTATGCGAGCGGTTGTGGTTTGTATCAGATTTTCTCCAGACAGACAAAGAAAGATTGGGACTTATCGAAAAGATTTCTTCCAGGTGATGTTCGTCGTATCCCAGGCAAATGCAGTTTCTCCATATTTATACACTTGGAGTTGTTGTGAAAGCGATAGTTTGACCGCATTTTTTTTTTTAGGGATTTGCTTTTATAATGGTCTACAAAACATTTCTTAAATACTTGATGACGATGCAATGTCGAAAACCTGTGCGACAATGGTAAAAGCGAACCCTTCGTCATCAACGTGTAAAAGGAGGACGTCACCTGAAGATTCGGTTGTGTCGCTAGGGAATTTTACAGGTTGCTTCCTGAAAATGGAACGGCTTTCGTTTCAAAAACTGTTTCCGAGTCCTGTAGTCGCTCCACCTCGACGACAAAGCCCGGTCACATAATTCGTCGTGATGCGGCATAAAATTGCCACCCTGGGCCGGGACGTGCTATCTCAACCCGCAATATTCCCAAAAACGCAGCGCCTTCTGATTACAACCCGTTCCTGTCAACGCGCTTCAGGAATTTTCGATAAGTTGTCATTAAATAAACTCGTATTGCTATTACAATAAGTAAAAACTGCACTGGAGGAATGTTTTAAACAAAGCCGAAAATTGAGGGGTAGAAAGCGTGACGAAATCATCTGAGAGTTGGCAGGAAATGATCAACAAAATAGGCAATCTGTTACGGATTAATGAACCGCATTCTAATAATAATTACAATTAGAGAAATACTACTTACTTCCTATTCAAACGTAAATTTAAAAACCTAAAAAAATTATGTTCAAAAGTATATTTTTAAGAGCAACGCCTTGGAAAACTATACCTAACCTAACTTAACCCTACATAGTCTAACCATTCCTAACCTAACCTATGCTTACTCCCCGGTAACGTGGAAATGGATGTATATCCTGCCTGAAAACTTATCCATGTTACAAAATATACTAATTACTCAAACTTACCTTGCTACAAGGTCGTAAACTATTGAAAAACATGCATAATAACCTGCAGGAACGCTTGGGAAAAATGTCGAAAAGCTTTTGAAAAACCTGCTTAACAAATTGCCTGAAATTTGGCGTAATGTTTCAATAAAAATTAACAATGAACCCTGGATTAATGATTAATGGCCGGATCAAACCAATATATCGGGTTGTCCGGAAAATAATGCAGGATTTTAAGTTTTCATTAAAAAAAATCTATATAAAATATTCTGTTTACGTTTACAGGATTACNTTCTTTTTTTTTGTTTAATACCAAAATCCTGCATTATTTTCCGGACATCCCAATACAAAAACTACAGACGAAACCTCAGACCTGTACAAGTCGTATTTATGGAAGAAAAGTCAAAAACTATTTTTGGAAGCTTCAGCCTTCAAAACTATTGAACTATAGATTAAAAAGCGGATATAAACATAATAAAGGATTATGTGAAAAACCCTAAGATTCTTGCTGCTGTTTGAAAAAAAAATTGAATAATTAAGCTTTAGCTTAATAACAAGCCAACTCGAATTTATTAACGGCAGGAACGTTTTGAAATAAAGTGTACAAGCTTAATAAAAAGGCATACAAGTCTATATAAAAATAAACAAGTCGGTTAAGTTGGTTACTGATCAAGTCAAATCATCCGAAAACTTCAGACTTCGAATAAAAATTGTAACTATTGAAATATTGAAGTTTTTCAATCAGAATGCCTTCATTTACAACTAATTTGGCCGTCCACAATACAATTTACATATTTAACTCTCGGATGGCAGACAAGGGGGCATGTCTGTGCTACCGTCCATATTCCTCAACCTTAGGGAACGCCACCAACGTCAATTCCCGCCTTCACTAGAAGGCTACCGAGGAAACGCAACTATTTGTCTAGTTTTCTAGATTATAGATAAGAGATCATTTAGCCTCAGGAAATAGATTCTTTATTACTGTAACCATCATCACACAAAATTTCATCAATATACACTTCCATATCACATTGAAAACATGTTAGGATGTGCTTAGGTATGTTTGCAACAAAAATCTAAAGCGTTGGGGGAAGAAAGCGTTATGGATGCAAGTCGGAAGATTATCAAATCTAGTCTGTTTTCATGAATTAATAGTGAAATTTATAATAATTAATGAATAACTATTGTAAATATTCAGCCAACTGTGAAATTGATCTGCACACGCGCGCGCGCGCACGCGCACGCACACACACACACACACACACACACACACACACAAATCTGCACAGATGAAATTCACAGTTAGACTAAATATTGACTGTGTATGACATTCAAAATCTACAAAAAATCTGTCTTTTGCCGAAAGTGTCTTCCTTTAAAGATTTTTGAAATTCTGCTGAAAAACACTGTTCAGTGTAAAACCTTTCAATTCGCTTATCATAACATCGCATCGGATTTTTTCATTTTTCATTCATTTCATTTCATTCATTCTTCGCATTTTCCCTTGAGTGGGGCCATTAAAAACAATCCCCAATCCTAAGAACGATATCAAAGGATCTGAAAGAACTCCCCTGACAGTTTGGCATAGATAAATGAACCAGCATAGCTCGGCAAAAGATCTGTTTTGGCAAACTCTTTGGTCATCGTCAGTTCTCATTTCTTTTCTTGTTTTTCTCGCATTTTATTCCTTCTAATTTCTTTTCATGTGTCTCCCGTTATGATGTTTTATGATATAACGATAACCGACTCTCTCTTTTGTTTATCCTATTGCTAGCCTCAGGGCACATGCACAAAAACCTATTTATAATAAATAAAAAATAATAGTGTGGTTAGCTTCAAGTCCAGAGTACTGGAAACTCCTCAGGCTGATTGGAGATAACCCATCCATTCACGATAATAAATACATTC